GGAGAGAGAGAGCGCGAACGGAAGAGAGCAAGAGCGAGAGAGCGAAAGAGAAAGATTGAGAGACAACGAGGGAGTGCGAACGCGGCGATGGGAGGGTGCTCTTGATTCGTTTGCCCCTGAGTTTAGCATCAGATCACCTGCCGTCTGGTGAGCGCTGTCGCTCTGCGGCACTTGTTTCCTGATATCTTAATAATATTTGAGTTACTTCTCCTTATACACACAGATTTGCTTTTTTCGTCTAGCTTCCTGGTAAATTGACCCATATACTCATCTAAGCGTGCAGCATTTATTGGTGGAAACTCCGTTGCCACGTCACTATGTAGGTCTTTGTAAGAATTAGCTTGAGGTAGAGATGGCATATATGCTGCATCAACAGTTTGGCAGTGGTTTAGCAGGTTGACATCTAAGAGCTCCAGTCTATAATAGTGAATCATTATAGTATCGAGAAGCCATTACTAAGTTTGTTGTTAACTGTAGTTTGCAACATATCTCTTACTACAGTAAAGAATTATACGATGTTCAAAGGTATAACTAGACAGAGTTCACTCACAGAGAGTGCATACCTCCGCCAGAGACATACGCCATACGACTCACGAACACAGGAATAAGCCACGATATACGCCAGCGTACTGACATGTACACGCTGGCTTGCTGCATGCTCGCTCGCTCGTAGCAGCCGCTCGTTGCTGCTGCTCACTCACATGTACACGCTCGCTCTGGCTCGCTGCGCTGGCTCGCTGGGTATCACTGGCTGGCTGGCTGAGCTGGCTGACGTGCTAATAGCGATCGCGCGAACACACGAACACACAAGAGCAAATACATAACCTCCTCCAACTACGTTGGGCGGAGGTAAAAATGAGACATGGGACACACTACACACAGCCACGAATGTATTCACGCGTGCATTACGGTATGGTAGACACTGAGACACAAACACATGTTGTTTCTAAGTTAGTATGACTGTACCAGTGCCACAGCAACACAGGAAAAAGATATAGCAGCTTCGTGTACTACTAATACTAGGCTAAGCAGATGCCATTTCTCAAATAACGATCTGAATTGCAGAGCTTAATCTGGCGGAACTATTGGTTTTCCATTGTTTATTAAAACGTGTGTTAGAAAACCTATTCACTTATTTCCCTGCATTTTTACCAATTTTTAACTTTAAAATTTTGCATAAATAAAAACGTATGTATATATATTTAAAAAAAAGTATATGTTCCTGAGCTTTTGGCATACATAAAAATGCTCTTGAGCTTATTTTGTACCTTTATTATTCTCCTTGTACTGAAATTGGGTTATAGCTATTTAGTGCCATATTGCTGTAAATTGTATTCAAACATGGTCTTGATTCGGAGGCTTTTTGGCATGTTGTCACGTCTATGTAGGCATTTTGTTCAACGATACAAGCGACAACTGATCTAATCCTGCATGCGATTCGGCAGGGATTGTAACGTTTTGCATGTTTTGTATTGTTATGTGTAATAATATTTTTGTGAAAATAGCGATTTACGAGTGTTCTAAGACTTGTTAGGGAAAGACTTTTAAAAGATTGATCAGGATGCGGTACTTTTATAATTTTCATACCATCCTGCCAAATTGTACTGCATCAGTGTTTATTTGTATTTTCATTTTCTAGCTGTATTATTTTTCCCTAAAAATTCCTGTTTACTTTCAGGGCTATTATCATAGCTTTTGGAGTTGGAGGATTTGTCGTGACAAAAAAAGCCGTGGATGCAAACCGATATGAAGCAATGAAAGTCAGAGAGCGAATACAGAACTCAAACACAGGAGAATACACACCTAGTGAGCGCAGGTTCTGAAGGAGTGCTACCACGAACCTGTTCTAGTACAAACCCCAGCTTTTTATTCACCAGAGCAGTTCATGCACGTGTATGTAGTCTTCCTTCATACTGTAGAACTCTGTTGCTCCCATTAGACGAGTAGTGGCAAGACGCAAGTGTTCTACTAAAGCATGGCTGAATACGAGAGAGTGCTTCTGGTAAAACCCGAGGTGTTTGTGTACAAAATTCCGCCGCGGCAATCGAACCGTGGCTACAAGGCCGCTGACTGGAGCCTGCAGGCACCCGACTGGACAGGCCGGCTGCGCGTCGTCACGCGGCAGCAGCTCTGCTACATCAAGCTTGAGGACAAGTCCGGCGAGCTGTTCGCGCAGTGCCCGATCGACGCGTACCCGGGTGTTGCCGTCGAGCCGGTCATGGACTCGAGTCGCTACTTCGTCATCCGTATCCAGGACGAGTCCGGCCGCAATGCGTTCATCGGTGTCGGCTTTGCAGACCGCAGCGACTCGTTTGACCTCAACGTCTCACTGCAAGACCACTTCAAGTCGGAGCAGAAGTCAGTCGAGCTTGAGCAGCAGCAGCAGCAGCCGGCACTCGACCTCGCCTTCAAGGAGGGTCAGACGATATCGATCAACATAGGCAATAAACCAAAGATGGCGCGACCCAAGCCTGCTGGCAGCAGCGGAGGTATAGGGATGCTCCCACCTCCACCTGGAAGCAAGATTCCGACGTTGGCTCCCCCGCCATCATCGTTGAATCCGGTTCGAGGGCGTGGCAGTCCTGTGCGTGTGCCGGCTGCCCAGAGTGGACCCATCAGCAGCACCAATACTCAGCCATCAAGCACTGTCAACTGTTTCCTAGATCTAGAGTTTGGTGGGCCACCAGCTGCAACCAATGTGCCAGCTGCAACTGCAGTATCAGCTGTTCCGGAGACCATCGACTGGCTGCAGTTTTAGAAACAAGCTTAAACGTTGAGAATAGGTAATTCTGGTACTCCATGGTGTACCCTATATACATCTATGTAAATCCAGTAACAATTGGTTGTAACAGTTGATCACCTGGGACACAAGCTTGGAAATTTTGCGTTTACAACACAATGTATACAGGCTATCAGTGAAGAGTATGAAAATGTTACTCACATGGATGTTTATTACGTATAGTATTACATGACATCTGTTAAAATAGCAATTACTAGAATCATACAATAATTACGCGCCCGGGACATGTTGTCTGGATAGTAGTCATAACATTGTAAGTCTAGGGGGTCGTAACTTTCGCTTATGAAATGCTGTCTGTGCATAAATTACGACATTTAGACTTATTATAGTCATAACCAATTATGATGTTTCTGATAATTGGCACCCGATGTTTAGACAAATCATATTTGGATTTAATTTGGACATAAATTCACAAACCAATAGATACCTAGTAGAGGTTAGCTGTACTTTAACTGTATGCCTGCCACTAATGTAATTTCATGCTCCTCAGGTCCATCTCGTGGTTGATTTCGACCTGTTCAAAGCAATCAATTGCATCATCATTGATGTTAGATGGTCTGTTTAGCACAGCTTGGAAATGTTTAGCCCATCTTTCGAGGATCTTCTCTTTATCTGTGATGAGCGTTGTGCCATCTGCACTCAAGAGTGGTGAGGTGCCCAATGACTGTGGTCTATATATAGCCTTTAGTGCAGCATAGAAGCTCTTGGAGTCGTGTCTGTCGGCAAATGATTGAATCTCATCAGCTTTCCTGGCCAACCATGAATCTTGCATTTGTCTCAGCTTAGCCTGGACAGTTCGGCGGATGTTGTTGAAAGCTCGTCTGTTTTCTTTGAGATGGAGGTGGGATCATTGATGTAGGCCCTATGAAGGCGCTGCTTTTCTTGAAGATAAGTCTTTATTTCTTCATCGTGCTCATCAAACCAATCCTGGTTCTTAGTTCTGGCACCAAGAATCTCATACGATGTTTAATAAACACAGTCTCTAAATGTCTCCCAGTCATTTACAACATCTCCAGAGGGATGGAAGTCAGCAAGCTAAAGAAGCGAAACAGCGGCGTGCGTGCAGTGTACTTGTATGTTGCAGAGGAGCATTTGAACGGCATTTGCAATAAATTATCAGCAATAATACGCAAAAGAGAGTAGAAAAACATTAAGACTTTGGTATTAAGTACATTCCGCATTTATTTACCAGTTATTATTGAAACGTTCCAAGTGGCCCAAGTGACCATGGAAACTATCATTAGGCATCTAGGTAGGCATTGTAGTGGCACTAGTAGTATTATCAAGAACAGTCTACACATTTTTCAAACATAATTGATTAATAATCATATTGTACTCAGGACAAGTGGGGTATTTACTATAACTGCTACTGCGAAGGGAGTTGCGGAAACAAATGCACACCAGGTGTCCCTATCAGGAGTGTCATAATATAGAGGAGTATGACTCGCTCGAAACAAGAAATTTCCATGCCCTAGTTTACCAACGATTTATTACGTGAAACCCAATAAAACTGACATCAGAAGTAGCGTTGTACATCCCACTTGCCCTCACACTTTACCCTGTATCGATACTTATTCTTATTATGTAGTTATAGCTTCGAACGTCAGACATCGTTTTAGTTATTCACCTAGTCAAGCGGCAAGCGTTCACGGCCGTTGCAATGAAACAATAGGCAGTTCTCCGTGAATCGCAGGTAACAGGGTTCGGCAGGGATTTGGAACTCGCAAATCCTCGCGACATCACACTGTAAAAAGTTCCAATATGTTGCCAAAACGAAAGCTTAGCTTAAGGCTTTTATTGCGAGACTATTACTCAGAAACGCTCAATCCGAAAAAATATAGCGAAATATAGTCTCACCTCACAGCGGATCACCGATCCCCGATTACCACGATCCTGGATCGCGTATCACTGATTACCGCAACTTGAAAAACCCTAAGATTTTATGCAGTTATAGCATACATTGTAACACCATGGCATTTTTTATTATAGCAAGAATCAAAATACAAATGGCGCCTTAGTCAGAATGGGTAAACTTGTAAATTGTCAATGCACTAACTTAGTTACAAGTTTTGCAACTAAGTCAAACAAAGGGTCATCTGTTCCTATTATTATGTGTAGTTGACTCCGTTCATCTTTTGAAATTGGTCGATAGCTGGCGCTATAGTCTGAGATTCACAAGAAATGGTGGCGGTAATCAAAACGAGTAATCAAAATTCGAATGCATGTTTTGTTAAATATAGCCAAGTATGAAGGTTCTAAGACATGTTAGCATTACTCTAGACAGTTGCTGTTACTCAAGCAATAACGGTAAGTGTTGTAAAAGTGGAGACACCACGTGACTGGTTGGAAATTGTTATTCGCCATTCCTGGCTTTAAGTTCGGCTCCAAACAAACGATGATGAAGACCTTCTACAGTGGGTCCTAAACTACAAACAAGAGCCGCAGAGCGTCTGGGCTCATCTGAGGTCTGTTGCTACGGTTATAAACGTAACATTTAAGTCGTGCGTAGTGACACCTTTGTTAGGCGCAGATATGCAGATACGCAGTTGCGTACACATCATTTCAGCAACCTTCTGCATTCTGCATACCTCCCAAATCCCATTGGTTGATACAAATCTCGTGCCTGAAACTTGGTGGTTGTTTCATGGTGCATTGTGACCCTAACCCTAACCCTAACCCTATTAAAAAAAAAATTAATTGTAAAAATTATTTGTTGTTATTAAATTGTTGTAAATAAATCATGTAAATATTTGCGTTAATTGGAAAAAATTGTTAAATGGATAAATATAGAAAAATACAGAAAACAGGTAAATAATAAAAAATCGGATGGGATTCGATCCAAGGACCTTTGAGCTGTGACGCCTGTGCTGTACCCCTTTTAGACGGGTCAATATATAATTTACCCCAAAAAATTGCAAAAGTTTGTTTTAAATGGTTGTTTATTTGTTAATATGTGTCTATGTCTACAAATACTAAAAGTTCTCCAAATCGAGCATGGAAGTCACCAATTTTGAAGATTACTTTTATCGATTTTAAGTCATTTTCCGTATTAAAGATGTGAATACTCAGAAAGCCATAACTCAGTCAATTTTCATGATAGATCAATGAAACTTGCATTCTTTCCTAGGTTTTTCAGGTCAATCTTTCATATTAAAAGAGGTTCTCAGTGAATGTTGATTATCCCCTTATACATAATCGAGGGTACCCCCTACCCCATATGCTCTTATTATAACCCTCCTAATCGATAAACGAGCAGTCTCTCTAATTTGACACATCTTTTAACCAGCGATGTTCGCACAACTTTACACAGTCATCGGTCTTATATCACCTGGATTCATTTGTCATATTGTCCACAGTTTGCCATCTTGGAATGTCGCATGCACTGGTGCACTCTAGTCCATGCTTTGCTGCAGGTACATCCGCTAAGGGCATAGCGATCGTCCGAGCAGTTGCAGTGAATCATCTGAAATAAGTACATCTGGAGCAGCGGCTTTGTGTCTTGTCATTCACTGGAACAAAGTTTGTCCGCTTCTACCTCCGATCCCCACTCAGGATGGACCATTTCCTCACTAACAGCCCCATCCCTTCCATCCCCAAACCCCATGGTAGTAGGTCGCAAGGATATGAAAATTTACACAGCCGAGGTGGGGTGGAGTCGTTCAGGTGTGACGAAAGTCATGGCTCTTGACAACTTTCTTGCAGAGCATATTGATACTCTGAATAAGATGGCAGGGAGTCTTTCTGATCTGCATTTGAACAGCTGGCCACACATTGCCCATACAATCCGTGTCCACAACATCCGCGAGCTTTGCTTTGGAAAGAGAGAAGCTTTTAGAACAGTCGTTAATGACTTTTTCCTGTCTTGGACGTGGTTGATGATCCGTTGAAACCCCGACTTCTTTTCCAATGCCGATATCCTGGAGACCGACTCACATCCAGTGAAGGCGATGCACAACAACAAGTCATTGCAGAAGCTTGCCCTCCAAGCACCTGCTGTGCGTACCTTGATATTTGTAGAATTTAACTTCGCTTGTCTGAGCGGAAATATAGACCAGAACATTTGGACACGACTAACATGGTGGAGCAAAGAGATAACAAGAAGATCGTGTGGTCTTCTCCAATAAGCGTGGTCGTTCTGAAAGCAGAATGTTGATGGCTGCCTATTCAACTCTCAACGTCCGCATTCCTTCTGCTTAAGCACGCCACAGTCTCTCTGCCGCATTCGCTCCCATGATCAATATGGATCGACTGTCTGCTGTGTTTGTCTCATTGGACAAGATCCTCCTTTTTCGCCAAGACAAAGTTTTGTCCACTTCTTGTAATGTTCACCTTGTTTTGCATTCAGCTTTGCGAGTTGCGACGCTGATTGAGTTACCATCCTTTAACTAGCCCAACCTCATAACCATCAAACAGACAGTCGCTTTCCCAAGGGTTTGACAGTGAAGTGAGCGTAATCGTCTGCAATCGAACTGTAGGGCTCCCCCTCCGTCCATTTCAAGCGGTGAAGAAGAGTTCCTCCATCAGTACATAGTGATCTGTGGGTACGGGACAGTTTGTGTCACAGCATTGTCTGAATTTGGTCTTAACATATTCTGAACTAGCTTTCTGCCAGCCTTGCGGTTTGTGGAGGAACGCACATATGTCCTTGCTTCGAACAATAGACATCGCGGTAAGGCAGAGTTCATAGGTACATGACGTTCATACTAGCCGAAGTTCGTGCCTCGTGCTGCGAGACTACTAGAAACCTCGGACAGAGCGCTGGTCAATAGTACGATCCTCAGAAACTTTCACTTTTTGGGCTGGATGCTAGAGTCTTCACTTTAAACTCTGTTTGTGGAGTATTGTTGGTAAAAATCTGATTGGTCCGTCCATCGCTTTATACAATGTCTTTTTCCGATATCAGAAATCCTGCACAATTGACGTCTCCATTTGCTATGCATCCCTGTGATAGACACACCGTAATGACTCATGCAGCTGCAAACGGGTAAAGCTGTCTAGTTTTCTGCAACTTTGACCATGTCTGCCTCATCTCGTTCACCTTAGAGCGCAAGACAACACTCCTTATGGCTGTTCATGTGGTGTAACAACTTGCGGTGAGTTTCTATGCATAGCAGGTTGTGGCAGATGACAGCAGTGAGACATAGCCCAAACTGTCCTTTGTGCTCTGACATCCCGCTTCTCGCGTTAGCCCCCCTTCGGCTTTTTAGTGAGGCGCATTAGCAGTTTGTTGATCAGCTAGATCAAGAGCCAAGGCCTAGCCCAGTATGGCGGTCTGCGTCGGATACCGTGAAAAGCCCAGACTGATCTTCTGATTACTTCAGGGTTGTCCATCCTTCAACGCATACATCTTCTGAGATAGACACGAGCGACTTCAGATACTTGGATGGCCAGCGCCGCGAATATTGGCAGGCACGCTGAAAACTGGCACTGCATATGCAGTATCTCCCCAGACCCATCGATCAGCCTGCAA